CCTAATGACTTTAATCAGCCGATTTTATCCAAAGATGGCAATCAAATGGATAGATTAAATATAGCCAGAATGATGAAAATGTACTGTGCCAAATTTGAAAATCAAGACCTTAAAATGGCCATCAACTATTACTATTGTCTGAGACACACAGAATTTGAAGGTACAACACTTTTTATTTCCTACGTAGCTGACCTTGTAATTGAAACGGATGAATATGACAAAGTGTTTGGATACTTGAAGCCAGACGGAAAAAAACTAAACGGTATTTTGGACTCTTTAATTGTGTCTGAAACACTGAAAATGGATATTATTARAAAAACAGCTACACTTGCAGAACAAAAGTGTGATCTCGAGGTGTCGGCTAAATTGTATGAATTGGTRGGTCAGTACGATAAGGTACTCGAACTTGCCAACATTATGTTGAGTCGAGTCATTCAGCCAGATATCTTCACTTCGTTGGATAAAACTCATAACACGAAGAACAAAATGTTTGAATATGCTCAAGTRTTAAGTCAGCGACTGACAGGAGTCGAAGCTAATGTATCTGAAGAAGCCATTTTCACATTTAACATGTTAAAGAGTGTCATTGTATTTTTCGAACAGTACAACAATCACAAATACACATTAGCTTTTGACGTGCTCCAGACAATTGGTTTGATACCGTTGGCTTTAAATCAAGTTGAAGAACGGCTTAGTTCATTTAAAAAGTACAATGAATTAATATTGAGAATTGTGCCTGGAGTGATGACGGCCACAATGAACATGTTGTATTCACAATACAGTGACATCAAAAAAGAATCAAATAAGTCGGCCAGGGATCCAGAACAAATGCATGCTCAGTTGGAATACATCAGRGAAAAGGCGAAAGCAATTACATCGTTTACGGGCCGTGTACCATTCCAAATAAACTCTGAAGTTATTAATCACTTAGTACAAACCGAAATTCTATTATATTAATTTAAATATTGTATTCTAACAATGTGCTAATGGATGGCACTATTATTCCTGATTATATTGTTAAGTAAATAATTACAAAGAATTTTGTATTTATGATTTTTGGTTAAGTTTAATATACAGTCTACATTAATGACCTCATTTGTAAAATATAATTTACTTAATACCTCTTTGCCTTTAAAATATATTTTATACAATCGCTATTTGTTGAATTTGTTTTAGAATTATTTA